TGTTCAGTTTTGAGTTGATCTTATTAAAGACAGTAAAAAAATTTTTTCCTCTCAATATAATTGAAAAATTTGTTATATTAATTCCACTTGCTAGTTTGTTATGAAATTTCTGCGCCCATGTTCTATATAAAAATCTGTATATAGTTTAATTAATAAATATGGAGGACGTTCATGATAACATGAATATTACAAAGTTTAACATAATTCATATTACCAAATGAATTTAAAAATATATTTCACGGACTTACAAGAAAGAAATTAATTACACGATCAACAAGAAAATATATTAAAACATATACCTATTTTACAAATTTAAAAATCTAACACAACCACGAACAGATCGCTGACATATAAAATAGAATACTCGACATTTATTTTACATATCCATCTCGTGGATAAAGAACAGTAACATTCTTAAAAATCTATCAAACACGTTGCAAAACGTTAAAATCTCATTATGAATCCTAGATATGCTAATTTATAAACTCCTACTCCCATGCACGCTTCTGAATATGTACTCAAATTATAATAAAGATCTTTTAATCATCTATTTAAGATAATAAATTCTTCGCGCACGTTAATTGTTACACAACACATACATTCAACAATTTTTCAATTTTCATTTCGTTTCGTAAGACAAATAAAAGGTATGAATTATTGATTTTACGCGAAAAATCTATATTTAAAGGTAAACACAAAGTTGTACAAACGCTCCTTCACGTTGTCCCTAATATTACTGCCCTGTGTCTTTAAATGCTTCTTAAGAACACACAAAAACTTATATATCAAATATCGTCTCGGAGTATCAAATTGAGATTCTCATGTATAATTATAATGTAAATGAATTGTCGGATACAAGCTATGCTTACGTGGGTGCATTCTGCATATGTGCGGATGCAGAATTCAAAAGGCCTATCCGCTGCTTCTGTTTTCGTTGCTCCGTCATCTAGTCGAAATTTAAATCATTATTGCATGTCAATTAATATCAATTTCTGTTATCGAAACGCAAGCTTAACACCAGAAATAGCAAACAGTAAAAGTGACTTGTTATTGAGTACTTGCTCGTAGATGAAGTATTAATTATAAAATAAAGCATACTTTTCTAGTGCTAATTGATATTATTGTTCAAGTAAGTATGTGATGCTTCGCGCTATAAAACAGAACTGATTTACCTGATCACGAAGCTCCGTGAGTTGTTGAGATAAACATTTGACTAACATTTGCGTAGATTCTAGTTGCGATTGTAAACTTCTTAATTCTATTTGTTCACCTTCTCCCTCATCTGCTGCCAAAGACTTTGCCCTCAGCCTTGGGAACCAATCCAGATTTCGATCCTGTAAAAAGTACACAGAGCTTAAAAGTTAAAGCACGGCTCAATGTTTTGAAGCTCTATGAACTATTACCTTCACCATAGCGTAGACATACGACTCAGGCCCTGTGAATTCCGTGGGATCTTTCACCTTCACCAGAACAATGAAATACAAGTAATGCCACATGTTATGCTCGTGTTTCACGTGTTCTTCGAAAGACACCGTTTTGTTATCGAAGGAAGATCTGTTCAAACCTACATAGAAAAAAGATAAATTCAAAATTACATTACATTTTTCATGCAAGGCGTAGTTTTATAATTAAGGGGTTCGCCTAATTTTAACATGCACATGTAAAAGTATATAGAATCTTGAGTAAAGCAACACTTGCCGCATATGAAGCATGTATTTTTCAGTATTAACTCTTTCTGTTGTTTCTCTGATCTGAGATCGGCAAAAGTGTCAATAATAACACCAAAGATGAGATTCAGGACAATAATTATTACGATGAAGAAGAAGAGTAAGTCGTATACGACTCTGGCAACAAACAACGGTTCCTGCAATAAGATGAATGATTATTTATATTTTAAATGCTAAAATGTTTTTAGTTTCATAATTCTTCACTTACCGTACTGGAAGGAGCTCGCAGAATATCACCAATGCCACCACCGTTCCTTAAACCTTGATTTAGAGTTGTTACAATGCACATTACCAAGGAATCACATGATCGTTCTTTTAATTCTCCACCGACATTAATTACATCTTCATTTCTGTCTCTATCAGCCACTGTGTAATCACGGACATTTTTTATAATTAAATCAATATGCAATATTTAAGAAATTATACACAAGTAATCTACCATAACAAACAGCTGAAATACCTTCTAAAACGTATCGAGAAACTGTTTCAGTTGCCTCACATTTTTCATTATTCACAGCATTGCATGTTTCCGTATTTCCTTCCGAATATGATGCTGAAAATAATAAAAGAATGTATTACTTATTTCTACGTATTTGGGTAGTATTATAGTACTAAAATATGCACTTACACATAATATCCTCATCGACAGACACTAAGAAATCATCTTTGAAAAACATGAAACCAATAATGGAAAACATATAAACTAAAATTAATGCCAACACAGCGGTGAGTATAATGGATCTTCCATTTCTCGTTACAGATCTGATTACATTGAGCAACGTTTCTTCACGGTAGACTACATCGAAAAGCTGAAAAAACAATTCAATTGTAAATTTATATTCAAGCGCATAAGTTACATTTAAGCATGAAAATACTTACTAAGACTGAATAGAAAAATGGATGCATAAAAATTCCAAGAACACAAAATATAAGATATGATATATGATACAAAAGTTCGACGTTTGTCACTATTTGCTCTAAGCTCCTTGTTAAAGTGCCCTGATTACCTATAATACTTATAAGATGTACAACTTTTAATACAATCTGAAACATATAATTAAAATTAGCGAGGTAAGTTTAATTAATATAACCCACGTTTGTGTTATAACATGTAGATTCGTGTTATTAATTTCAAAGTAAAAGATATCTGTCAATTATCTGTTAGGATTACAATAAAATATACACACCGTAAGAAAACCAAGTAACCATAAAGTCGGTTCTGGTCCTATAGAGAAAATTAATCGCAATATTGTTGACGCCACTAACGTACGTATACCAGATTCTCTTGGTAATGTAAGAACAATAACAGCAGATGAAAACATTACCGCCCAAATGAGTCCAGACAAGTGCGAACTAAGATCTAAAATAGAAAAAATATGTAGATATATGCATAAAATATTCATTAACGTTTAAAGTTAAGTACTTAAAATCTTACTGGGCACGGAATCCACGAATGGGTAAAAGAAAGCTACAATAAGATTTATGAGTACTGCACAATTGAATAAAATATTACTCCATAATGACATGTAACTGCTCATCCAAAATAGTACTGGTTGTCCTATGACAAAAAAATATATGGTTAAACATTTGATAGAAAGTTAAATTAATAATAGAATCACACAGAAATAAAAGCCAAAATAGCATACCCCTAAGCTTCTTCTGCCATTTCATTTCATTGAACATGTCTTCTGTTCTCTCAAAGAAGTCTGAAACTTTCGATCCTTGATCATCCCGCTCTGTGGTGTTTAAAACTTTGATCTTTGTATCCAAAGTAATAAGTTCACAGATTTCTGGAATTGGGAATACGATCTGTTCCAAGGTTCTATCATTTCTAACAATCTGAAAAAGATTTGTTTGGTAATGTATTACTATATACATAAATAACACAAAATGTATAATTTGTCATACTTCAATTTGCGCAGTATGAGTCGCATAATATTGAAGAGCTTTATTAATCTTCGGATCCGCATTATTTTGTTCGGATGGCTTCAACATTGACGACAGTTCTTTATTATGCTGTGCTAATTGATGACATAAAATATAAATATTGTGGCCAACCTGAAAGACAGTTTGATCAGTATTGAAATATTTTTTTACAATACATTAACTATCTTTAAAAATTATTACTTCTTTAGGTGATACTCCTTCTTCTCCATCGGTAGATGAATCGTCGACATCACCATCGTCATCTAATGATTCCTGATGAAATGCGCGACACGCAACGTCTACCAATTGCTTAGGATTCATATTATATAGAATTCTCTCCGCGTTCTCGCTGTCGCCTCTACTTTCCATTATAGCTAGCAATAATTTACTGGCATTGTTTTTCAATTCTAACACTAAATCCATTCGAGTCTTTCCCAAAGGATTAATATCATTCAGGATCAACGCGGTTATTATGTCTAATCCATTAGATTCATGAGTAGCAATACAGTTCTGGTTATCATGACATGGTCCCTGGCAATACTCAGTCAACGTCTCTAACGTTTGATTAATTAATGCAACGTTGTGCTCATTAATATATAATCCTAGCAACCCTAATCCACCAGTGGTTGAGCCACAAATACAATCCAAGAACATAAGTGTCTCGGACACTAGATTGAAATTTGTCTTGTTATTCTGATTGCGAAGGAAATTCTATAACAACATAAAAACTTTGTTAAATAAACTTTTAATGTAACTCTAAAAAATGTACGTTATAGATTTATTACCTGCAAATCGCGATTATGATTCTCACACAGTAATTGCAGAAACCGTAAAATTGGCTGCATTACTAGTACTTTCGTACTTAATTGACCTTCGTCTCTTTCTGCACCAACTCCAGTACGTTGCCTTTCCAGTTTTTCAGCAATCATATCCTCCAATGCACTTCCTAGTGCTGCATTAGTGGTTGCATCCTCACCGGAAGCTAGATTGCGAACATTTGCAAAGGCTTGTACTGTAGACGATGCAGCTTGATTTAATTCTTCACGTAACTCATCCGTTATTACAATTCCATTAGGTTTAGCTACATATAAAACAGATATTATGTAAGTAAATATTAATAAAAATAATTGGAATATAATCTTATCATACCTGATGTCCGTTTCCTTGAGATTTTTTCTATTTCCTTACTTTGCTCCTTGTCTTCATGAGCCTTAGCTGCTATATCGGACGTGTTCACTGTTACAGTAGACTTTATCTCTTGCTGTGAATCCTTCATTTTGTCATAAAACACCTACAAATTTTTAATGACAATCGGAAGTAATAAATGAATGATTGTCAATGTGGTTGTCAACTCACGATTAGGAAAAGTATGGGGCTGATAATGAGGCTCTTTAACGAGCTAACATACCTTGAAAAATGACTGGCTCAAGTCATCACCCATTAATTTATTAAACACGCTCTTTTGTATGATAGGATTTCCACCTTCTAGTAACGCAATACCAAGTTCTATAGCTTCCACAAATATGCTTGGAGAATGGACACTTTTGATTACTAATTCAACCACCAAGTCTGATGCACCCTCTCGATCAAGATGACTCTGTATTTCATGCAATGTCCTGCCTGCCCGGCTCAGAAGTTTGGCTGCAGAGAATTGAATATTTAATAAATACGTGCGGTATGAGAGCGAAACAAGTAATTTGTTAGATATTTATTTGTACCCCCTGGTCCATGCGTAACTGGTGCAGAGTGGGAAACTCCGATTTCTACGTTCTCTGGCTTTTGTATGAAAGATTTTCCAAAGTAGCGAGCCAAAAGATTGTGCCTTAATACATCTCCCTGGAGAAAAGGAAACAGAATGTATATTAGTGTAGTGAATTATGGCTTGATTAACTGCGATGTACCAATACATCGTGCAGAATTGAATAAAAATCCAGTATGATTCAAAGGGTATCGCCGTGCATCGTTTGCAATATATTATAAAAATGATTACCTAGTCTTTCGTCTAATAATACAAATAGATAAATTGTGTATTTACATTATCTGTGCACTAAAGTATCAAAGATATTTGTGCGGCTCTTATAATGTCTATAAGAAATCCTAATTAACTTTACATTTTGGTAAAATGCGATACTAACACTAATTTGTCAGAACAATCAGACTTGTAAAAAATATTATACACGTTTTGAAAAAATGCACAACACTAAAGATTAGTACGATTCAGGTACTTGGAAACTTTTGGGTAGAGTATGAAAAGTTAAAATGTACATCATTACCAAAAGAAAAGGATTGATTACGTATATGGGAGCAGCAAAATTAATAAAGTTCTTCATATAAAATTATCTATATTACGTGTGCCAATATATACAGCAATTAGTCAAATAAAAATGAAAATATCCACAAAACGACTTATGTAAATAGATACTTTAAATATTTAATAGCTTTATTTTTATATTTTGTACTGCTGCTCTCATTCTGTTAAAGATACACCTAAAACGTTGTAATTGCTAAGAATAAGGTATCTAATGACGTATTGGTACACCCTGTCTGTAAAAGAAGTGTATATACATGTTTAAATATAATAAATTGTCTTATTTCTATTTCTAAACTCTATGCCCATACTGAAATGTATTTAGAAAGAGGTATTTTATACTACATATAATATATGGTATGCTATATTTTTATAAATTTTGATTCACGACAAGTTGAACATTTTTCAACTTATTTAGAAATCCACTAAAACATCTATTTCAACCGTCCACATTCTAAACAAAAATTCAACACTGTCTCGACAACTGAGTCTCCCATCGTAAATCAGAATTACGTTATATATAAAATCTAATATCTATTCTATGCTTACGTTATGTTCACTAAAAAAACGTAACAAGAGAAGATAATTTAAAAAGCAGAGCACGAACTTAGTAAATGTAAGAAAATTGTTCAAGCACATGCAAAAGGAACTTACACAACGTACATTATTTTTGTACTTATACAGATTTCATTGATTGCATCATATAATATAATATAGTGAGTTTTTTACAAGCAGCAAATAATAAAAGTGTGTTTAAGTANATCTATTCTATGCTTACGTTATGTTCACTAAAAAAACGTAACAAGAGAAGATAATTTAAAAAGCAGAGCACGAACTTAGTAAATGTAAGAAAATTGTTCAAGCACATGCAAAAGGAACTTACACAACGTACATTATTTTTGTACTTATACAGATTTCATTGATTGCATCATATAATATAATATAGTGAGTTTTTTACAAGCAGCAAATAATAAAAGTGTGTTTAAGTA